CTTAAATACCTGGAGACTTCCAGGCAGACTAGGTCATATAAGTTACCTCCTGCCACCTCCGTGCAGCAAGGATTCTTCCAGTAGGTCTGGGTCTCAATCTAGACCCCCACTGGGCCTAGCAGAACACCTCCGCTTTTTGTGTCCAGCCACAGGCCTCACCACTTCCTTCTGAGTCCGTGTAGCTGAATTTGGCCATTGGTTCTGGCTGTCTCTACTATTCTGCTCTCCGCCCATTCTTTATGTTTTAAAAACCCTTTTACTCTCATAATACTTTGCTTAAATACAAACATATTATTCAGCTGTACAAAAATAGTTTTATTTTGTATCCCTATTCTGTAAGCTTTTAACTATTTAATTTTTTAAAACACTTTTTAAGGCTTTTCATTGAAAACTACGACAGGGCCAGGGAGATAGTTCAGCAGTTTAAAGCACTTGCTTAGGCAGGTTAGGCAACCGCAGGGACCCTAGTTTGATTCACAGGGCCACTTGTGATGCCAGCCCTTTCCCCAGGGCAGGATGAGCTAGCCACAAAAAAAATGAAAGAAAATGAAAACTAAGACACAAAATATACTCTTTGGCTTCACCTTAGGCAGGGTCAAGATCATCAGCATCAGTCCTCCACCTCCATAGCTTGACCCCCTGGAAGGTTTCCAGGAATATTAGAGTTAGAATATGACATCCCCCAAGGACCATGTGATGGGTGAAGCCTTTGTCCCAGCACAGGGTATATTAGGAGCTGGCAGAAACTAGAAATGTGGCCTCATGGGAGGAAGTCACATAGCTGGGACATGCTCTTCAGGGAGATGCTGGAGCCTTGACCTCTTACTCTCATGTTTTGGTTCCCAGCCTCTGTCAGTGAATAGTCCTTGACTGCTATACATTCCTATAGGATGTACCCTGCTCTCACAGGATCAAAGCAGCGGTGCAAAGTAGCCATGGACCAAAACCACTAAAACAATGAACTCAAACCTTTTCCCTTATTAAGTTGATTATATCAGGTATTTTGTCACAGTGACGGGAAACTAAGCCAAGAGGCACTACCACATCTAGAGCTTCCATCTCTTATGAGAATGATGCCTTTACCTCCTCAAATACCCATCTAAGGCTGTTCCACAGCTGACTTTTTTTAATATGTAGGAGTACACTTCAAAATAATGAAAGCATGGTGAATGTCATACACAAGTGACAGTCAGGTATTATCAATTATTACATAGTATACATAATTGGATGTGTTATGCCTTTATAGAGGTTAAATTTTGGGTTTGTTTATGCCAGCATTGCCTCAAATACATGATGTGTTACAATACAATATCATCATGGGTGTGACGTCACTTAGGCAGCACCACCTCCACTTAATCCTACAGGCCCACCACACACATGGTCTGCAGATCTCCAAAACATGGATCTCCACACACATGGTCTCCAGATCTCAGTGTATCCCTACTATTTGAACAGAGTATTCTCTTTTTGTCAATATGTAGTAAAATGAAATTTATTTATGCAAATAAATGAGTAATGGGATGATTATTTAAAGGAAGATTATGTGACAATACAATTTACAAGAGAAATAGGATATCAGTAAAAAGTAATTTGGAGAACATTCATTAAGCACAGGAGGAAGGGAACAAATATTGAAAAGCAGGAGAGTTTGAATATAAAGGGCAGGCCCATTATTGCACCCACTTGCTGCCATTGTTTACAGTCCAGGATGATATAACTTCTCAAGTTTTCTTTTAATCCTATAATTCTGCGACATTAAAATGACATTCAAATGTTCCAGGAAAAAACCAAAGTAACTGAGTGTGTGTATGTGTACATAGGCTATGTGTGTGCTTAACCAACTCAACACTAGGTGGCCCTAGTCACAAAACCAATGAATTTTCAAAGGCCTAAAACCCAGAACTATCACATTCTGAGAGCAGATGGATTCTAAGTCACTAAATCCAAATCCATTATCTTCCAAAATCATGTGTACATTAATAATAGCATAAGACATTTATGTTTAAAATGCTATGACTCTCCAAAAGAGCAGACATAAATCCTAGAAGCCTTTATTTCATAGATAAAAACACGTTGCTTTGACATAGTCTTAAAGGATGTGGATGCAATTTGCTCAGATATTATCTCACTTTATATTCCCAAAGAAGTCTATTATATTGATATTACTTTCACATGTACCAGCTGATAATTGTCTTAAATATTACAGTGTTGAGATTGGATTTACAAGGTCCTGACTCCTTAGTCAGTGTCATTTCTGTACAGTAATCAGTAAAAGGCATTAGGCTTCCACTGTATAGTGCATCTGACATGGCACTTCCATTCTTTAGAATACTTCCTGTAATGAATTAAATGTCCTCCCATAACTATCAAAGATTCAGAAACTGAATGTAAATTCTCAGAGACTAGACAGAAAGACAACATCATGCATGGCAATTTACTCATCACTGTACACCTGGAATAGACACAAATGGGTTACGTGTCTGTCCTTCACACCCTCCAGTGACTTCCCGTTGTCCCAAGACAACAATGGAAAGCTGAAGTACCTTTGTGCATGGTCCTTCAGGAGCTACCACCTAATCCAGTCACTCTCCCTCTAGCTTGTTCTCTTACTGCTCACAACTAGTTTTCTATTCCTTACTTGAACCTGTGAAGCTCATTTCAACTCAGGGTACCCATATATGCTCTTCCTACCAACTAGAATGGCATACACACATCCTTGAACTCTCGGTGCATATATCTCATGTTCTGGAAATACTTCCTCAGCTACCACTTAGTGTATCAAACACAGGTTAGGTCTTGTGTTTTCTGCTATGTTTAGTATCCTGTACTTCTCCTTCATAATATTATTATGACTATCATGAGGTCACCATTGGGGTATGTGCACCCTTAATCTGGTCTATTAACTGCTAAATCCCTAAACACCAGCATAGTATTTTACCAACTTGCAAAATTGTTACCAATGCCAAAAATAAATTTCATATCATAACTAGTACACACAGGTATGCATGTCCTTGAAGAAGAGCTTCATAAACAATGTTTATCCTCTCAAGGTTTAAGTCTCTTGATATTTCATCTTCTATTTTGAGTATGTCAGATAGAAGCTCCTTTACTGAGCCTCTAGCCTAATAGTCCCAACTTTAATTATAAACAATTATCCATGAACGTCTCATGTTACAAAAACTTGTAGCTGAGAGTAGATGTCTGGTAGTTGTTTGTAGAATAAACCAGCAGAAAATTAATATTTACCAAGCATTATTTAAACTTGGTTTATTTTTACAAAGTAAGAGCGAGCCTTGCCCTGCTAATTATAGTGGAGTTCCAGCTTCTCTGTTCCAAGGTCGCAAATTTTCTTCCTGTGCAATCTTCAGAAGGAGAGAGGCTGACCCATTATTTTACCTTTATTTCTAGCCAATATATTTGTAGCACTACAACAAACTGGTTTAGAAAATAAAAAGCAATTCCTTAATAATGTTACAAAATTCATGACTGCTCCTGGCTCTTATGAGTAATAGATCAGTTATGGTGAGGAGGCCGGGCTGGCCCCTGAGTTTGTATGGCCAGCCTCCAGGACCATGACAAGGAAGCGCCTGTTGTTGAAGCCACTCAGTCTATGGTAGTTTTGTTGTTCAATGAAGTAATGCATTTATTCTCCCATGATTGAGTTAATGAAAAACAAAAATAATTTTGGGTCATCTAAATCAGTCCAGGGTACAACCAGAACCAATTTGAGTTGGACTTCTGATATGGCTATGTCTTAATACAGGGACTGGAGTCTGGAAATCTGGGTTCAGACACTAATTCTTCTATTCTACTTGCAATGTGAACTTCAACAAGCTTTCTAGTTTGTTTCATGCTTCTTTCCTCATCTGTAAAACTACGACAATATAGCACTTACAAAGTGGGATTATTTTGAGGATTGTATGAAACATGCACATAAAATGCTTAAAACAGTGACCGAGATGTAGTAAGTGATCTATAGATATTACTCAACCCCATTGTCCTACATTTCCCCCATAAAAATAAGCATTTGAAGCTATTATGGGAACCTTTCATATCAATTAAGATAGGTGTTGCCGGCTACTCTTTGAAGACTCCAGCTCCTGCAGAATCCCTTTAGTTTTGTGTTTTCATGTCTGAAACATGAATCTCTCATGTCAGGGACCACCAGCATAGCTGTTCTAGCCCAGACATTGTGTCTGCATTCCAACTCAGCCACAAGGAAAAAGCATGTTTTTTTAAGCTACAGGAAATGTTTCTCCATCTCTTCATTCTTCTTTGTGAGCTTTTTCCCTGTCCAGGATCACCTCCACGGACAGAAGTTGTTGCTAGAGAATTAAGACTATAATTTCATCTTTGAGCATACCATCTCTATTCTTCACACACTGTTACCATTGAGATTTCAATGGTAATTTCAATTACTAATTGCTCTGGCTTTCCTATAAGCCCAGTACACAGTTGATTGCTGTGCTTTTAAAGAGCTGGTTCTCTGTTAAAATCTGAATGAGTAGCTTGAATGCGCTTTCCCTAACCCCAGCTGACCTTAATCTACCCACTTGGTTATGTAAATGCTTTGTGTGTTTTGTTTGTAAGCCAGCATTTATCTTCATACCGAACACTCCACACTTGTGGTAATACAATTATAGAAAAAGTGTGAAGTAAAAAGATATTCTCCTCAATTATTAGCCATAATATCACTTTGGTATAACAAAAAACAAAGAGAATTAACATAAACAGGAGATTAGTTACCCAAATAGTAATATTATATTTTATAAATATATCAATCAATAAAATAACTTCCAAAAAAGTATTCGCCCCAATGGTTCATAATGCAACATGCCATTCAATTCTATAGACCAAAAAGAAAGATAATTTTGTGAATTCTGTTTGGGTTGTAGGGACCATTATCTGGTCAAAGGGCTGTATGGACAGAAGAGACAGGGTGAGTTAAAGTTTAACTCCCAGCAATTGCAAACCAAACCTGAAGCCACTGAACCTTTGGAGTTTGATATGATGATTAGAACATAACCACAGTGACACGTTGAATTCGCCATAATCAAGGAACCTTTTCCGGGTGGGGATCTCAGAAATCACTCAGGTATGGTCCGTGTGTTTTGGTTTTTCTATTTTAAGTCGGTAGAACTGTACAATGTGGTATTTGTGACAATGCATGAAAACAGGTTTCTCTTCCAGGACTGAGTCGAATCCAGGGAACTTCCTAGCTTGTTTTTATGTCAAGAGAACAGCAGAACATATCGGAATAATCATAAATCTTAAAATGAAATGAATATTACATATTTCTCTTTGCCTTAATACATTTCTAAGACTTAACAAAAAAAGGTAGATTCAGCCCTGTCAGTTCAAGAATAGGAGCTAAAGTTCTGAGAAGTTTATTTAGCTCTAATCAGACAGCAAAGAGAGTTGTGGTTTGCTTCCAGATCCTAGAATCCTGAAAACAGAAACGCAATTAACATCTCAGACAGATTTTGAGTTCTCTGTATGGATCAGAATTTCCATCATACCTAAAACTTCATGTTCTTTAATTATGCCTTCTCCTATCACCATTAAAAAAACATGGTGATTGCTTACTATTTCCTCTGCCATTGTCCTGCTAACTGAAAGAATGAGCTATGCTATTTTTTTATAATTCTTGCAAAAATAAATAACAAAACTGCCTTTGAGTATATTAAACCTCAACCTTGGAAAAGCTAATAGTTAGATCATTTCCACAGTCTGGGCCACTGTGCTACCGTGGGTATATTTTTCACATTATCATTCTGTTCACCCCAAAAAGATGATTTACAACTAGCCTATGATGATTCTGAAGAAAGGATACATCTGGGCATTTAAAAGGAGTATGACATTCCTATCAGAAATCTCCCCAGGCTCTCTGATTGAGATACTTTGGTGGTAAGATTATGACAGTTCCAAGAAGAAAATTTCATGATAACGAAGTTTCTCCACTACAGGAGTGTGTACATTTGCCCTGTCTATCTCCAAGATGAAGAATGTAAAATTATTTAGGCACTGTAGAGGATTAATGTTTGACAGAACATGTACTGATGTAAATTAATTCCAGCTGTAATTCACGAGCTTCAAAAAAAAAAAAATGATGTCTGATAGCGAATGATCTTTATAATGTGCTGGGAGCATGTAATCAGAGGATGATTCCAAAAGAAAAATCTCGCTTTCTGGAGCATTGAGACTCTCTCACTAAATACAAAGAAATAGACAAATAACTGAAAGGGTTCACCCCTTAAAAGTAAAGAGTATATTTTCTGAAATAACATTGATACTACCCATTTTAGACAATTTTTACATTTTACTGGCCTGATTTATTATATATCAGGTGTAAAGGCAGAAAATATATTTGGCAAGAAAGGAAACTATTAAGAACAAATATAAAAAGACATAATTGATATAAAAATTAAATAGTTGTTTCAAACTGGGCTTATAATAAGCGGTCTTCTGATAATTTAAACATTGTCCACACTATATTTAGTGAGCACTAATAAATGTGGCACCAAAAGTGACCATAGTCAAGTAAGTGGAACTAAGTGGTATTGCACAATTTTTGTTAGTGTCTGACACATTACACGTGTAAATGGTATGTTTTTCCCTAGCATCATCACGTAACTCCCCCTGCCTCATGCCTACTTGCTTCCTTTTGTCCTATAAGAGTCTCCATTCTTCTTTAACGCCATCTTTTTCTTTTTTTAAAAAAAAAGAAAATATTTCACCTATAAAGGAAAGCTTGTGATACTTGTCTGTAAGTCTGAATTATTTCACTTGACATAATGATCGCTGACTCCATTCATCTTCCTACAAAAGATCTAGCTTTTTCTTCTTCATGGATGAGTAGCTCTTCACTGTGTGTACATACTGTATTTTCTTTATCCATTCATCTGTTGATGGGCATCTGGTCTGGTTCCAAATCCCACACATTGGGAATTGTGCCCTAATAACCACGGACACATAGGAATTCCTCTAGTATTCTGATCTTAACTCCTTCAGGTATATACCAAAGAGTGGTATAGCCGGGTCATTTGGCAGTTCTATTTGAAGATTTTTGCAGAATCTCTTTACTATTCTCCACAGAGATCGTGCTAATTTACATTTCCACCAGAAGTGTTTAAGAGCTCCTTTTTTACCTCATTCTCAGCAGCCTTTCTTGCTTGCTTTTCTTTCTTTTTCTTTTTTCTTTTCTTTCCTTTCTTTCTTTCTTTCTTTCTTTCTTTCTTTCTTTCTTTCTTTCTTTCTTTCTTTCTTTCTTTCATTCTTTCTTTTTTCTTATTTCCTTCCTTTCTTCCTTCTTTCTTTTTGTTCCTCAATGACAGCCATTCCGACTAGGGTGAGACAGAATTTCAACATAGCTTTGAGGGGCACAAGTTTCTCCACTTACCCATGTATGGACAGAGCTATTTGTGTGTGTGTGTGTGTGTGTGTGTGTGTGTGTGTGTCAAGTTTTCTAGTTCTTTATATATACTAGACATGTATTAATCCTGTGTCAGCAGAGTATCTCTTAAAGATTTTCTTCTGTTTTATAGGTAGTCCTTTCTCTCTGTTGGTTGTTTCCTTAGCTATGCAAAAACTTAATTTGAGATAGTCCCATTTGTTGATTTTTATACTATTTCCTGGGCTACTGTGCTTCCTGTTTAGGAAGTCTTTGCTTGTGCTGTGATTCTTTTTAATTTTTTTAAGGTTTGTTTTTTTGTTTTGTTTCGTTGTAACGGGTCTCACTAAGCACCTCGGACTTGTAGTGATCATTCTGATTTCTGCCTCCCTGGTGCAGGGATTTCAGGTGTGCGCCACTATGCTCAGACTCCATCACCAGCTCAGCACGCCTGGGGGTGGGACCGGCATGACATGTGGTGCCAGAAATCGAATCCTGGCCCCTGTGCTTACCTAAACAAGCACTTAGTCCACTGAGTTATACTGCCAGCTCTTGTGCTGTGATTCTAAGTATTTCCTTTATGCTTCATTTTAGAAGTTTCAAAACTTCAGGCCTTTATCCTGGGATTTGGTCCACTTAGCGCACAATTTTGTACAAGATGAGAGATAAAGGTCTTTCTACCTGTCGACACTCAGTTTTCTTGGCACTATTTGTTAAAGAGGCTGTCTTTTCTCCAATGTATGTTTTGGGCCCCTTGGTCAAAAATTAGATGGCTGTAGTTGCATGGACTTTGTTTTGGGGTCTTCCTTCTGGTCTATGTGTCCATGTTTGTGCTATGTTGCTTTATTATAGGTTTTTGGCTTTGTAATACAATTTGAAATTCAATATCATGATAACTGCAGTATTGCTCTTTTTGTTTAGGATTACTTTGGCCATTTTGACCTTTTGTGTTTCCATATGAATTTTAGGGGTCTTTCCTAGTTTTATGAAGCATATCAATGAAATTTTGGTGGAAATTACATGAAGTCAATAAACTGTTTCAGTCCAATGATCTCTTTCGCAATATTAAATCTGTCAGTCTATGAATATGAGAGGCCTTCCTATCTTTCAGTGTCTTCTTCAATTTCTCTTTGCTGTGTTGTGTGATTTTCTCTTTCAAAGAGAAAATCACACAACACAGAGGTCTTTCACCTATGTAGCTAAATTGATTCCTGGGTATTTTTAAGCTGTTGTGAATGCAGCTGTTTTCCTGATTTTCTTCTCCACTAGTTCATTACTATTGTACAGAAGATCAATGAATTTTTATCCTGGTATAGACAATTTAAGTCAGGCCCTCTAACTCTATGTTTGTTTGAGTGATAACATATATCAAGTACTATATTGTGAAGGACACTTCTAGGTACTCTCTATGTACATTTATTCTTAGAAAAAGAATACATATGAAGCAAATACTGAGGTTCAGACAAGTTACCAAACAGACTCAGTGTCATGCAGGTAGCAAGCAGCAGAACCTGGTTTCCTAGCTAGGTGGTCTGATTCCAGAACACAAGCATATAACCATCATAATGCAGGGACTGATTATGTGTGACTGTGTTCACTCAGTGTGAATGCAGAGCAAGAACAGTAAGCGATGTTTTCTTTCTTATGCTTGCTTTACAGTAGAATATGTTCTTCCAGGAATAGCTGTTCATGTCTCTCAGAATTGGCATTCCTCACAACATAGATTTTAAAATAATACATAACTGTGATAGCCCATGTCCAGCATGCTTTGCAACCAGAGTCACTCAAACATCATCACTTTGGAAAGTATCAGGTTCACATACATTTGGGCCCACACCCTCGTCATACCCATCTGACAGGACAGGGTTTGTCTTAGATGCTTTTAGGATTAATTCCAGAAAGAATGTTGGATTTCTCTGCAGACAGAACTAGGTTGGCATGCCTTTTCCAAAACGTTCTGGTTTTATGAATTTGTACATGTTATTTGATTTCCCTGAATTTCAAATTCCTCAGGTGTGAAACAGGCACTAAATCTACCCCAAGGAATTTTTAAAGATTAAATAAAATGATAAAGCCAAGCCATTAAGCAAAGCACCCAGTGCTTAGAAATTGGGTAAAATCCTTCCTTTCTTTCTTTGTAACAGTCTCTTAAAAACTCCAGAAAAATCTCTTAAGACCTTCCAAATGCAGCCATTAGCTCCTGTTTGTCAAAATAATACCTTTAAACAGAAAATGCATAAATGAAGTTTTGATTAATCACAAAGTCTATTCTATTTTTTATAGAGAGACAACCTAAAATTCTTTCTTAATATTAAAATACCCATAATATACTTTATTTGGGGTAATTTTGCTCAGTACTCCTAGTCAAAAGTGCAACACCCTTTCACCTAAAACCCACTGGCCACTCTGATATAGTATACATTCATTTCATTACATAGTCAATGTTAAAAATCTGTTTCAGTAATTGCGTCTTACAATATTGCCATCCCGTAGAAAGCTGGGCAGCACTTTGAGTACTGTTGCACAATGGCTTTCGTTGCTTGATGTGTCTCTAAATGACTCAATAAGTTCAAACAAGACAGTATTGATCCACAGAGAATAAACACCATTTTATCTTATTCATGAAAACAGTAACCAGGCTCTTCTAAAGTGCAGTGCTAACAGTCCAGGACAAGCAACTGGGAAAGGAGCCCCACTCTCGCAGT